GTGCGTGTGCGTGTGCGTGTGCGTGTGCGTGTGCGTGTGCGTGCGCGTGTGCGTGCGCGTGCGTGCGTGCTCTTGTGCATGAGCTGTTGGTGTGGGTAACAGGTCGGCCTGGTCTAGGATAACCACCCAGCAAAAATCTGGCGATTTTCTACAGGTAACTAAGGAAACCAAAAATCTGATTTATGTGCGATTCCCCCTGTTGTATAGATGATACTCGCATTCGGGAGTATAGGAGGTCCGTCACTGGGAGAGGGAGGGGGTTGTGTCTCTGGAAGGGGGAGGGGGTCTGTCACTGGGGGAGGGGGTTCTGTCACTGGAAGTGGAGGGGGAGAGGGTCAGTCATTTCTGCAGTGACACGGAGTGCGGTAATTTGGTATTTAATCATTTTATTCCATTCCGTTTGTGATGGAGCCTGTGTTGGTAGCATGTGCGTGAACTGCTAATATTATTATTATTATGATTATTTGTGTTGTGAAATAAACAATATATGATACAATACGGGCGATGTTTCTGTCTTCTCTAAGCTGTGCATCAACGAGACATACAATAATATAACGAATATATCTTTCCACGGCTCTTTATCATGCGAGAGACTCGTGCCAGTTGTTGGCAAAGTTTGAGGTTTATAGAGGGTTCGTACGCAAAACTTGTGTTTCACTTGACGTAGAAAATTGGGATTAAATGTGAAGACTGGCCATTTGTGAGTTTGTCATAATATAATATATTTGTCATTGTATAAGTAGGTGGTATATTGTCATAAAAACATTTCAACCCAACTTACTCGAGATTGCCAGGTCTCTGATTTCAACAAAAACATTGTTAGCAAATACTGGGCATGTGCCATCTGGCCATATTATATAATATATATATAATACTATATATTATATATAATAATACATAATATATATTATATATATAAGCTATGCCCGAGAAGAGAAAAATAGGAAACTTTGTAGGAATTGGTTTTATGAGTTGTTTATTTCGTTGTAAAACATACATACCTTCAGAAAAATTTCGCCCAATGTTACTGTGAAGATATAGATATATGTATATAAATGTAATATTACTGCACACTTGTAGTTTAGAAGCAACGGAGTGTGTCCGTTCGCTGCTGCTTCGAAGTTATGTGTAGTCTTGGGACTGGCCTGTGAATGCCAAGTATTCCCATCTGCATGGAGACTGGAGAATTAGATGCCCTTTTTAGACAATTTGAGAAGATTTCGAATATGCATATTGCATATGGCAATCGTTTCACAATGCTCCAGAAGATCTGTCGCATGTGCTTCTCTAAGAGATCAATACAAAGCTGAAGAAAATGAGGAATGCACACAACTGATAAGCTGATCACCAAAGACTGCACATGAGGTCTCTGGTGTACAAATGTATTTGAAGTAGCGGGGTTTACGTTGTGAATTCTGATAGCGATGTCTAGATGAGTATTAGGACTCGTTTCCACTAAGCGAGTGCATTGATTGAAGTGATTCACTATGACCAAGTGGTATAGAAAGTATAATTTCATTCGCGCGACACTGACGTCCTTGTCCTGTTGTATTTAGGTTGTATGTGTTTATTTACGAGGAACAGGTATGTCAAAGACCCTTCACATCCGTGCATGATTAGTTTATGGTGTTTGCCTAATATTTCGGTGTATTCACAATCGTCCCCGATAAAGTTTGTCAAAATAGCTAATAAACCAACTCACTGTTATCTCATCATCGCGAACCCACCCTTGCTAGTTTAGTGTGGTTCCGTATAATATACTCGTGACTACTATACACCCTACTATATATTATAAAGAAGCGTACACATGAAGAGCATGTTGGGGGTAAAGAATCTCCGCATTCGCTACTGTTTCATCCTACAATTACGTCTCGTTTACAAGAGGCTGGCATTTGCAACGGTTAACGACAGAAGCGTGATGAGAAGCGCGCTGCCGAGCCACCGAGTTGCACTAGCGGTCGCTGCTGCCCCCTGGTGGTTCGCTTCAGTTTCCGCCTCCGTCTCAGCGGGCTGCGTTGTCATTTCTGCGACGCCCGGCGGCTCCTGCTCCGTGGTTTCCATGGAGTCGAGCTCGAGTACATCCCTCCGCTCGTCTATGAGTTTTATCGGCGGCTGCATCTCGGTGATTTTCGCCGGCCGGGAGGAGAGGGCGGCGGAGCGTCTTCCGGCACAGGCGGGCTCGTATTCACCGAGGCAGGCGGCGTACGCCATGGCGTGCATCAAGTAGCTTTGCTCGCGAACGCCGACGAACAGATGCGACATAGCGCCCGTGGCGTAAGTCGCCACGTCCTCCCCGGCGTGCACACCTGACGATCGTGGCGCCACCGCCTGCTGGAGGTAGTTTTTATCGGCTGCAAGAGCAACAACACGGCGACAACTTAAAAAACACGCGGTACGATACAGCAGACGCTAGAGTGTCTGTATGTCCTGGTCGCGGTAAATTTCCAAATTAAATACTGATTCGCGAACTATTGTAATTAACGAAAATTTAAAGCAGGATTTCAACTAGCTAGCAATTAGCGAAACTTAAACAGTACGTATGCGCGTTGTCTACGTATGCATGTAATGAGCAGCCCTTTGGCTTGCAAGATTGCGAACGTACTAATTGAATTTAATGTTTCCGATTGAATTTATGATGCATAATTAACATAGATTTTCTATCGTGAGACAGTCACAATTTTAGTAGGAATATTGACGGTACTAAATTATGACTTGGTTGTTATACGTTACATCAAAGCTCAATATACACGCAAACAAACACAGATATATAATTACTTGTATCGACTCCGGTTATATTTATTCTGGTTCCATTGCTAATGCTACGTCCTGGAGACAATCCATATAGCAGTGTCGTATACGGTTTTAGGTCCCGGTTAGATACTCCGCCAAGTCCTGAATTTAAAAAATCCTTGTATGCACAACTTATTGGTAGTGTAGAAGGGCGACATACAAATATGCGAACTTGTTTTAGGCTAGTAAAGGTATTAGTTGTGTTTGGGTGTTTTTTTTATAGCTAGCGAAACCCAGTTCCAGGATTTGAAACGAGATTCTACAAGATGCCATTTTAAAGCTAATAATGCTACATAGTGCACCACTAATCATGTCATTTAAACAAAAATGTTTGTTTGCGAGGGGAGGCTTTCCGAAATCTAATGCTATCGTTACATTCTTCCTCTTGGGTGTATGTTTTGCGTAAAATCATAGCGATGACTGGTGAACTTGCAACCCTCAAAAGGTTATTTGTAGCACTCGTTGCAAGAACTGAGATTTCCTCAGTTTGTAGACGGGGTTATCGGCCTGCGTCAATAAGTCGACAGAAGTGATTCAGCCTGGTTTAACGATCCTACCGAATATAGGATTTCCTCTCGGCGGATATCCGGACATGATCATGTTATGCGAATGGTCGGCGGTGACAACGAGTAGAGTGTCTTCCGCGTCGGTCATGCTGATAGTCTGCTGAACAGCGACCTCTAGCGGCAGCACTTCGGACACAGCTCTGACGGCGGCGCCCATGTGATGTCCGTCGTCGATTTTCTCGTCTGCGGAAACGACGCTACGTAAATGAAGCGGCTTTTGTTTGTGGGGAGTAACGAAGCTAATTATCACGCATTAATCAACGCGCTCACTTGCACATTAAATTTATGTCCTCATAAAAATTAATCGAGGAACAATACGTACGGGTTATCTATAGTAGGCTCGGCCGCTATACAGGCTAGCCAGTGAGCATGCGCCGTACGAGCAACCGTCAGGAGGCAAGCCACAGGGAGTATGCCGTTGTTTATTAAGATTTCTCAGTATACCGATCTTTCACTTATAATTAATAAATTTATTAATAGTTATTTTACCCTGTCACTTGCGGTAGCGAGAAATACTCAGGATGCGCGATTTTCTTTAAACATACGTGTTAAACACGACGTGCTACGTGACTTACTTTCGACGAACAAAAAGAAACCCTTGGGATTCTTTTTTAATATTTTTATTGCCACATCGACCATGTCTGGCAGCGATGGTGATCCCTTTGGTCCCTCATCTCTGTCCATGTGATACGGCATTTTGTGCGACGCGAACAACCCTGAAATGGCATCGGTCGCAGTGTAAACATCGCGCACTCTCCGGCACGCCCTCGCGGCACCGCCAAGAGTATAAAGAAGGCTCTTGCTTATATATATGCCTTGCGGGGACACCCACTCGAAGGTCACGGGAATCTGCGTATTTCTAAAACAAACTTCCGCGCATGCTCGTCCACTCAAATCACTGTCCAGCGTTGTACTAGCATTACCCACGTGCATATACATTGTCCTGGCAAGTAGCCAGGAGGGCGGGTTACGGGTACCGACGACTGCACATGCGTACATTCAATGATCCTGGATGATTCTTCTAGAAACTTTAGTACAGTGATCACCACTATAGTTGGAGCTTACCTAGAACGTAGTCGACCTCGGCTGTGTCGACGCTGAGCAGCTGTGCTGTGTTTTGCACGAGTTTGTGCCTGACACCCTGGCCCTGCTTCTGACGAAGCCACTCTAGTTCTAGATTCCGGCCGTCCGTACGCAGTCCCGCTTCTGTTTCGTTCGATGCGTGGCCGCTTTCTGCGACCGGCAAGAAATACTCCCGGCCGCCTCCCATGACGACCTGATGTAGGGTTATATATAATATATATATATATATATATATATTATATATATATAATATATATATATATATAAAATATATATATAATATATATATATAATATATATATATATATATATATATATATATATATATATATATATCAGTGTGTGATCGTGCATATATGAGACAAACGCACCACGCTCTCTCACTCGCTCCTGCCTCGCTCACGAACTCTCGCTCTCTCACTCACTCTTTTATTATTTTATTACATGGTTTATATACGTTATTGCGTATACTATATGCGTTATTACGATATTTCCACACAACTATACTATTCTCTGCGTAACCACGCCAGCTGACATCACCTGGATGTTCTGGCCTGGTCTGTTGTCTATCAGCTGGCTTGCTATGTCCTTGCAGGCGGAATACGTGGGCACGGCCCCGTCATACTTGTAGGAATCAGACGGTGCGTGCGAGTACAGTGGCGACACAGATGCCGCGGCCACCGTGTCTGTAGTCACAAAGCCCACCGACTTACCTGACGAAAAAATGAAATATGCGTTAATCTTCTCAGCCGGGCTATATGGGTTAGGACAACAGACGGATGTGGGAGAAAATCCATACTAAATGGAATGAAACCCGTTCGCGAGGGTTGGCGAGTAACGACAATGACAAAACATCAACATCTTCAACATCATCATCATCATCAACAACAACAATAACAAAAATAAAAACAACAACAACAACAGCAGCAGCAGCATCAACAGCAGCAGCGGCAACGACAGCAGCAACAATAACAACACAACAATAATAATAACGTAACTTCCCCGTCAACTTTATACTAATTTTAGATACTAGGATCCTATCAATCTAGCACTGGCGAACGACTGAGCTCGGCTATGGCCCGAGGGACAAGAAGTAAGTCCCCCATATGCCAAAGATAAATAGGGGAAAACATTCAACATGCTAGCGATAAATATAGAAAAACCTTACATGTGCGGAATAAATAAGAACAAAAATCCTACTCAATCGGCGCTTACCGGCCTCTTGTGCGAGTTGTAGGATAGATATCAAGTTGGCGCTGCTGTCGCATCTGTCATCAGACGTCGCATCCATGCAGATTCCGTCTTTGTTCGTCTTCGCCCCGCACAGGTAAGCAGTCGCTGCCGATGCCGACTCACCCACCTGGATCTCCACGTTGTACGTCTGTATAATATATATTAAGAGCTAATAAATACCTAAGCTAATTAAATAATAATAATAAGATAATAACCTCTACGATACTCCTAGGCCGAGATATTGGAGCGTAATCATGCCTCCCACATGCCTCACACCGCCTCGTATCCACAATAATCACTATCCTTACTCCTTCCGTCGCCGCTTGCAGAGCAGACATGCCCAAATTTGGTACTCTTACTACACCATATAGTAACTGAGCTGCGTTGTAGAGACTTAATTTAGAAAACATTGCCGGCTACATCATGACGGGCATTAGCCGTGCTATGAAAGATAATGGGAGATAAAGGCATAGGCGATGCCCCCGAAAGTCACCGATAATAACCGAAACGCCGTTCATTCATAGAGTTATCGCGGAAAAAAACCGAACTCTCACGAAGCGACTTTCCTAACCCGCAAAAGGCGAGAAGGATAGTGAATATTGTGGATGCGAGGCGCCGGAAGCCTGTGGGAGGCGAAGTTTACGAGCCAATATCTCAGCCTAAGAGTATCGTATTGACAAGCGGTTGGTCTTGTTTTAGAGAGCAAATAATTTTGCTTAATGCAATACGATAAAATTATTCTAGACTTGCAGGCAAAGTAGAATAATATTACCGTAAAATAGCACTATTTCCCCGTTTTTCCGTTGTACACTCTAGGTGTTAATTAGCTTGTCTAATAAGATAATTTGTCTTTATTAACTCCTGATATATATATACACCAAGGTGTCAACAACATGCGGGGAAAACAAATATACAGCGAGGTCTTTGCTCCCGTTGATTTCACAATGAATCAACATGTAGTAAAAAATTGCCATTGTTTGAAAGAGGTTAAGACTCGGATGGATGCCGAACAGAGGAAATCAGCGAAACAGAGAAACGAGCACTTAACTATCAAACCAAGAAGCCAACACAAGTGGCTTAGGCGCATGTATATTCTGGCTTATGCCGAACAATTCCTTTCTGTTTTAGTTAGCTTCCGAGCGGCAGAACTATATACATTCTTTGGGTTCATATGTCGCTACAACATGACTTATATTCGAATTAAATTGCGATGAAAATGACCGAGGTACCGGTGTAAAATGGCTGGAGATTATTATTAGCTCAACGCAGCTTAGGGCTCATTAATGCAAACTAACGCAACTCCGCGTTAATAGCGAATTTTTGCATGAAATCGATGGTTTGTAAATGTATCACTGTAAAATGCAAATAAACGCTTAGTTGTTGGTGACGTTCGATTTAAGGATAAATATATACACGCGTTTAGTAAGGTTATCGTTGCTTAATGTTGATACGAGCTTAAACCGTATCCGATCTAGTTTCCCATATCGGATGTAATTCCGAGAATTCGGTCTATGTATATACAAGCAAGTATAAAAGGAAACCCTTAAAATTGTAGATTTTTCCCCAAACTCAAAATTTCACGGAAACGCATGTTTAGTGTCTAAAATGCATTCTCGTCCATGCAATTATAGATGCCTACCAGCAAAGAAACACGATGCACTATACGCCCTTTCCGTTCAGGTCACCTATGTATACGTGGACGACAATATATTGATTCCTTCTTCTCTTCGGACCGGACCCAGGGATTCGCCGCCGCATACGTGAAATCGCACTTGTGTGCGCGCGTGCATGTGTGTGCGTGAGTGTGTTTGTGCGTGCTCACATGCGTGTGTGCGACAGAAGGCTGCCTGCAATGTTGAGTAAACGATTGACTAGCTATAACATTAGAAATTACAATCAACGAGTTCGAATTCGTATAGTAAATTTACGCTAAAATCGTATAAGCATTTTTCCTCCAGCTGCTAAGCAGGTGTTCGCCAGCCGAAAAAAGCCAGCACAACGGCGTGAACATACGCTCGTTCGTTCGCTCGTTCAATCGGTCGTTCGTGCGTGCGTGCGCGCATGTGCATGTGCGTATGTATAGGCTCGCGTGCGTGTGTGTGTAAGCGCGTATGTATGTATACGGGGTATTCATGTGTATGCGGTTGGGCGTGTGTGCGTCGTGTTTGTTTGTTGATGCGTTTTCGTGTGCGTGCGTGCGTATGTGTGTGCGTGTGCGTGTGCGTGTGTATGTGCATGCGCGTGTGTGAGAGCGTGTGCGCGCGTGCGTACGTGCATGAATATGTGCGTGTGCGTGGGCGTTCGTGTGCGTGTGCGTGTGTGTGTGCGTGTGCGTGTGCTTGGGCGTTCGTGAGAATGTGACTGTGCGTGTGCGTGTGCGTGAGCTCGTGTCAGTGTGGGGTAGCAACATGTAAGCCGTTAACAAAGTTAAACAAACGCATCGCTAACAGGCTCCACAGAAGAGCGAGTAAGAAGGCTCTTTGTGCAGCGGGTTTTCCCCCGTGTTATTGATCCCGCAAGATAAACATACAACGAACGAAACCGAATCCTGATACGAACACAAACATGGCGGCCGTATCAGAAAGCAACCCCGCGGTTAGCCGGCTAAGTTAATAAAGACAATATTCTGAACGTTTTGAGTCGCCGTGTTAATTAGGGCAATTTCAGGGCAATTTCTGTTCTGTTGCGTTTTTAATTAGGACAATATTAGGAAAGGGTATTTCTATAGGGGACTCGAGATATTTCTATATGCTACCTGACAACATTATGATGCCGTTACCATTTAAATGGGAAATATTAAAAGTATTTACCACAATTAGCTGCTACCACAATATTGCTGGTGGTTTTATCTACTACTATTGCATTTGATCAACACTAGCGCGTTTCACGGAAAGTGAAGTTAGAAGGTGTTTCTCTCATAGTTGTGCCATAGATATATTAGTATAAATAAATAAATAAATAAATAAATAAATAAATATATATAAATATATATATATATATATATATAAATATATCAGCCCTATCAGCATAGGTTTCTGTAATAAATTCTTATCAGTAGACCTGTGTTTATAATTAGGAGAGCGCCCTAGCCAGTAGGGTGCCATATACTATGGAAAGCCATTACCGCCAAAACCTACCTATTTTAATCGCGCTTAAAATACATTGAATTCCAGCCAATCAGAACAGTGGTTTTTAATCGCGATTAAAAAAGATTTTAAGCGCAATTAAAATAGGAGGTTTTTGTGCGTGTGTGTGTGTGGTGTGGGTGTGTGTGTGTGTGT